CGCGCGCGATTTTAGAAGTGTGCACTTGCAAATTCCCGGCATATCCACAGATCCAAGCTTTCGTGAAGAGTGACAGACCGGCAAAGTTCCCTAACTTGCAAATTAAATATGTACGTGGACTAGACCCTATAATTAAACTTCTCGATAAAGATGGAATCGTCAGAGATACTGTTGCTATTGAAAAATGGAACACTGATTCAGTAGAAGAATTTTTAAATACTCATCTCGAAAAAGGAGAAGATGACGACCGAAGTTATTTAAAAACTAATCAAATTTAAATATCCTAAAGATTTTACTATTTCATTTGTTTGACTCATCTTTATACTCGCATTATTATACTTACAAGAGACTTGTGGCAGTCTGCGCAGGAGAAGCACCTTCTGTGCCATGTTGCATTCTTGGAGTTCATTTGTTCAGCAGCATATACAGGGAAGCCACATCGTGGGCAACCCTTGCCTTTAGCTGCCTTGGGTCCAGTGAATGGAAGTTGTTCAGTGCTGGAAAGGAAAGTACATTTCAATTTTTGTTCATAAAGAATTTATTTTACAAAGAAAAGCTAATTTTGTAAGAATACAATAATGTAAGAACACTTAACTAATAGTTTTATTTTTTAAGAAATATTGAATTCCAATCCCTACATGTTATCTTTTAGAGAAAATTTTTACTGGATCACTAGCAACCCATATAGAATTCTATTGATAGGTTTGTCTGTGATTTTGTATAAGTTTAAAATGGATTTATAATACTTACTATGTGACTGTTGGCTCAGAGTCTGTGGACACAAGTGTTGGTGCATGGCCGTAGCCAAAGCCTCGTGGTCCAAACAGCTTGGCATAGCAGGAACGGCAATGGATCTCCTTGTCAGGTCCATCACATGCCAGCATGGAGTCCAATGGACGGTGACATTCAGCACAGTTAAAGCATTTCTTGTGCCACATCTAGACAATATAATTTTGGTTAGCAACTTTTGATAATTACAGGTGGATTTGATAAACTGTCATTACTATTTGTAATGTTACTCACTGTTCCCTTGGCAAGTTGTTGTTCAGCAGCAAACACCATACCACCACATCTGGGGCAGCCTTGACCCTTGGGGGCTTTAATGCTGGTGGTGTCCGGGTTGTAGTAAGGACGGTTTGCAGAAATCTCATCCTCACTATAGAGAAAAATAATAATTGCTATAAAAGTTCATTTTTGTAACTTGTTTTGGCAAGATAGGATAGCAACTTACGTTAAACCATCGGTTTGTAAGAATCCAGATCCGCAAGCGAATCCGTATCCGTGGGGTCCCCACTTCTTGCCGTAACAGGTCTTACAGTAGACGTCAGAGTCTGGGCCGTCGCAGGCAATAATGGAGTCGAGGGTCTTTGTGCAATCGCGGCATTTGAAGCACTTGCGATGCCACTCACGGCCCTTAGCCAAGACCTGTTCAGCAGCGTAGACGACACCGCCACAACGTGGGCAACCCTTGCCGGGTGGCGCCTTGATCACCGCAGTATCGACTACCGTTGTTTTAGGAGCTTGGTCCCTAAAAGGAACATTTTGTTACAGTTTGTATTTATTTAAAGTAATAATAGTGAAATATTTCTAAGTTTGTTTCATAATTTCGTGTAAATATTATGTATTTAAATATTTTCATAAATCCGTGTGAATAAAGATTTGTGTAACTTAAACTTTGCACAAAGCGTGTTTTTAATAAATAGGCGAGATAATACGCTTAGTACTATGCTTGTAATTTTTATTCTTTATCTTGTGGAGTATTGTTCGTCTAAAATTTTTTTGGAAATAATGGCGATGAAGAGTTAATCTAGCTACTAACAATAGAAGTTTTCATCTCGATCGCTACTTGTGTGTGATTTAATGTTAAGTAGAAAACAATTGGTTGTTTATAGACAACTATATCTTATATTCTTGAAGTTATTAATATAGAATCAATTTAATTTGTGCTGTAAGACAGAACGTCTTTGCCCAGATTATATTTAGGCTGTGCGAGAACGGAGAGGGCATTCTATTTTGAAACTGGCACGCCGCCATCGCTTGTTTGTATTATAAGCTGTTTTTATGAAAGTGACTATGGGATGGAAATAATCCTGTCTTGTAATCCGAGAACTTCAACACGTAATAAGTGGCTTGTGGAAAACCGTTAACCAATCTTTCAGTTTGGTTGAAAGTTGGTTAGTAAAAACGTCTAGATTGAAACTTAACCCGACATGTGTTCACAACTAACTGTAATCTTTGAATTAATTATTTTATCGAGTTTTTAAGGAATACCAAGATTTAGAAATTTAATAAGCCCATGTTTCCTATTGTTCTTTTAGTTACTTCTGTATGAATATAGTAGTATTTAGTTGTGATATTTATGTCAAAATTATAAAAAAAAATCATAGTACCAAAATTAATACTTACCCATTGGCGTAAGGATCGCTCTGGAGGACACCAGCCCCCTTTCCATAACCGTATCCCTTAGGACCAAACTTCTTTGCATAACATACTATAGAAAAAAAATATAAAATTAGAACTATGGATATTAGAGAGTATAATCATATTTTATTGTAGTTCCTAGTGGATTAAAAAAATTCAAAGTCTCATTGAGAAAATAAATTTATCACTCCATTCAAAAGGTTTATAATATTATGGGAATGAATGAACGAACCTTTGCAGTAAATGTCTTTGTCAGGCCCCTCGCAACAGTTTGTGGAGTCCAGTCGTTTTAGACAGTCGCCGCATTTGAAGCACTCCTTGTGCCACCCCTGGACATACAGTGAAGGTGTGAAGGACGCGGCATGCGAGGATAAACGGAGGGACAAACCGTTACCACAATGACAACGAAAGTTATCGCACAACCTGCACTACATGGGCTTGTGGGAGAATCGAACTTGGGTAGGCTAACGCTCAAATACCTCGACAATATATCTCGTTATCTGGCCCATCGCAATGCGTCATTGAATCAAGGATCTTGTGGCAAGTTAAGCATTTGAAGCAGTGCTTGTGATAGCCCTACGATACAACAATTTTGTTTAATCTTTTGTCATAAGCACTTCTTTAATTCAATTGGAGCTTTGTTTTAATTAGTTGATAAGAGATTGGCCTGTTAGATGCTGCCTGTGACTTCGTTGCTATTATTATTTTTTAAAGCATTTGAAAATAATAATTTGCTTTAGTAAACTCACCCTTCCGCGAGCTAACATTTGCTCGGCGGCGTAGACAAAGCCGCCGCAGCGCGGGCAGCCCTCACCGGGCGG